TTTTTTTTTTTCTTCTTCTCTGTCATTTATTTCTATATCCAAAGCACAGGGCTAAGCATGTAGTAGGCACTTAATGAATGTTGAATGAATGAATGATTAAATGGATGAAGTGCCATTCTATGTAACTTGAGTCAGTCAACTGAGTGTAGATCCAGGAGAAGGAGGCAATCTGATCCTTGCTCTCAGGGAGTATAAAATCTAGAAGGATCTTTGGTGACAGGTAAAAGTGATCCCTACCCAAGATCCTAACTGAAGGCTGTGGGCCCTGTATCCCCTTCCTGGCTTTCTGAGCCTTTAGCCCACCAAAGGGAAGAACTCTGCTCCTTCCCCCACCACCCTAACTGTTCTTGCCTGGGTTTCTGCATGGCAGTTTCAAATGTCTGGTCCTGTTCCAGGTGTGCTGTGGCTCTGGATGCTTGGATGTTTCCTCTGGAACGTGACTTTTTCCCCAAGGCCCGAGGTCCTGTGTTCTTTATCAATACTGAGAAATTCCAGACGGTGGAGAGTGTCAATTTGATGAAGAAGATATGTGCCCAGCATGAACAATCCAGGATCATAACAGTCCTGTGAGTAAACCCAGGGTTATGATCCCAGTCTCCCACTCAGCTGTGGCTCTCTTAATTTCATCTGGATTTTCCAGAACATCCTACCCGTTAACAGAATACCTGAATACTTCCTGAATTTCAAAACCTTAATTCCTTTAAAACCTCATATCTGCCCCTCTTCTCCACTTAGCTCTACCTACAGTGATGTCTTCAGTAGTTTATGTAATGTTATGACAGGATTTATCTGGTACTTTCTAGAAAAAGGATATTATAGGATTGTGTGTTAAAGAAGGGGTGTGGTCTGGGTGAGTTCCAGAGATCTCTAGTCTCATTTGGGAATTTTATTGGGTCTTTTGAAAAGTGTGCATATATAGGGCCCAACCGTGGCTCACTCGGGAGAGTGTGGTACTGATAACACCAAGGCCACGGGTTTGGATCCCTATATAGGAATGGCCGGTTGGCTCACTTGGGAGAGCGTGGTGCCGACAACACCAAGTCAAGGGTTAAGATCCCCTTACCAGTCATCTTTAAAAAAAAAAAAAAATGAAAAGTGTGGATATAGTTGACCTTGACACTCATCAGATACATTTTTAGAGACCTTCATGAATACCAAAATTCACAGATATCACTCTAATGTATATTTTCTTCTATAAACCATCAATATTCTGGCCAAGAGAAGCCACAATCTCTTCACTTCCATCACCAGCACTATCAGTTGATTTTCTTCTGGGAGCCATTTTTCATAGAGAAAATAATTTTTAGTGACTTTAGAAATGTACTATGTATAGGAGGTGTTGAGCTACAGATGCAGGGCTGAAACCTCACTGACTCGCCCTGCCCTGTTCTCAAGCTTGACAGCATACGTGCTTCAGGGATCCCAGTTCCTATTTCAGCAAAACAACAAGTGAGTGCATGCCACGGACCTCAGGAATCACTCAGGTGGTTGAAATGTCAAATCCAGAGCCCTTGGATGCAGGGGTTCTGCTCATAGCTGGTGGCTTCATCCCTGCTCACTTTGACTCAGGCTCTCTTCCATGGAGCTGGCCCCTCCCCTTTCATTTTGATTTCATGGCGGCAGAGGACTGCTGGAACCTTTCCCCAGGTCAGTCAGGTTCGGGATAATTGTGATCTGGAGGGAAGGAAGGCCCCTTAGGAAGGGGTACACAAAGGGGATTTAAGTACTGGCAATGTGTTATTTCTTAAACTGAGTACTGGATACTCAAGTATCCAATATACTATTCTGTACACATTTTTGTGTCTTAAATACTTGGAATACAATTTTTAAGTCAGTTTTTCTGCATGATATCAGACTTTTGCATTTAGATTTTCCCTCCCTTATTGAATTGACTAATAAATTTAGTTATGAGTAATTTAGCTTAATATGAACCTAATGAGGATTTCACCTATGAATTAAATGTATTTAGTATCAAAGGACTTAACGTTCTAACCCAGAAACCCCCTTTTACATGCACTCGCCCTCATTTTTCTGATTACTTAAATAAAGGCAAGTAATTCCTTTTCCCTGTTTGCTCTGTGGTACAGTTCCAAAAAGGAGCTAATAATATGTATTGTCAATGTTTGGAAAGTCACCAGGTGAAAGTCATGAGATAATAGATTATAACATAATAATAACAGGTGCTGCAGCCCTCGCCTCCTTGCCCCTATCCATGATCCAACCTGTTGAACCTTTTCCCTGTACCACCAGGCACACCTGGGTTCAAATCCTGGCTCTACATGTGTAGCCTTGGGCAGATCATTTCTCTCCTTGAATTCTGTCAAAGGGGAAAATACTTCCCTTACAAGGTTGCTGTGAAAATTAAGTATGGTAATGCATGGAAGCTCCTTGCACATGGTAGGTGCTTAATAAATATTTGTATGCCCTAGCCTCCAGACCCTTACCCAATTGTTTTTCTTTTCCCGTAGTGGTTCTGTTCATCGCAGTCAAACTGACTTTGCTTTTGTGACTGGCAACTTGATTGGTAAATTCTTCTCCTCTCACGCCCGTGGGAGCCTGGACCCCTATGAAGGTCAGGAGCTTATGGTGCGGGCCATGTTGGCCTTCCTGCAGAAGCACCTTGGTAAGGAGAGAACTGGGGCTCATGGGGCAGCTGTGGGGTCCCTTAGATTTCCCAGCAGCACAGTGGTCTGTACTGACATGCCTGGGATCCAAGACATTTATGGCAAATGGAAAACCTGAGTGAAGGAGATAATTATATAGAATTATAGAACAGGGCTGGCTGGTTAGCTCACTTGGTAGAGCATGGTGCTAGTAACACCAGGGTCAAGGGTTTGGATTCCTGTACTGGCCAGTCACCTCCCTGCCCCTTTCCGCCCCCCCCCCTCCCCAAATAGAATTGTTAGAATTATAGAAAAAACACTTAACTGAAAGTTTGGAGATCATTATTCTGTCTCCTACTAGGCAGATGACCTTGGCCTAGTCTTTCATCTCTCCGAGCCTTGGCTTCCTCATTGTAAATGGAACATCACCTCTCTCTACTCCACCCCCTCTATCCTAATCCAAACTCATTATCACTTACCTTATCTGTATTGTGGGGGAGGTTATGATGAGAATTGGGCTAAATTTATGGAAGTGCTTTATGGAAGAAACTATGGCATGTCATACATCACAGACCAGCTAAACGGCAAGGCCTTCAGAGGTCCTTGGTTTAGCGTCCACCCAGAGAAGGCATCCTCTTGTGTCTTCCCTGCCATACCGTCAAGGCCTCTTCACCACTGGAAACTTGAATGGCACTTCCTTCATGGTAACCACATGCAGCTGCTGTCTCCACCCACTCATCCTCTCCTCTGCTCTCCTGAGAGACTATTTCACACCTTCTCCTTTCTCCGCAAACCTCTGACACCTCTTCCCTTATCCTGTCCCTCAGCCGTTTCCCTGACAGAGCAGGTGCAGCCAGCCCTGCCTCACATCCCCAGCACCACCTCTGCCCACCTCCCTGCAGAGGCTCAGTCCACTGCATCCTAGACTTCCCTCCCCAGTTGCCCAACCAAGGCCCACCCCTCTCCACTTGCACACCAGATTCCATCCCCTCTTGCCTGTTTGAGATGATTGTGCCAGCAATTTTTTCCTCTTTATTTATTTATTTGTTTGTTTGTTTATTTTAAAAAGATGACCGGTAAGAGGATCTGAACCCGTGGCCTTGGTGTTGTCAGCACCACACTCTCCCGAGTGAGCCATGGGCCAGCCCTCCCTCTTTACTTTAGATCATCAATTTTTTCCTCTCTACTGGTTCCTTTCATGCTGAAATTTCCCTTAAGAAAATCTCTGTCTTGTCCTCAGTATCCCCTACATTTCCCTGTTCCCCATAGCAGCAGAACCCTCAAAGAAATGTCTGTCTTCACTTTTCTAATTCATCTCTTTCCATTCCCTCTTAAACCCACTGCAGGTGGGCTTTTGCCTTGCAGTGCTCCATCAACACTGCTATTGTGCATGTCCCCAGGGACCTTCATCGTGCTGAATCCAGTTGCCAGTTCTTGTTCCTCATCTTCCTGGAACTCCCAGAAGCTTCTGACAGTTGACGCTGCCCTCCTAGGAAACACCATCTTTACTTCTGAGACACCACACTAGATTTTCTCCTATCTTGATGTCTGTTTCTCTTTGGCCTGTTTTGCTACTTCCAGGGCTCAGGGCTTGGACCTCTTTTCTTGGCTTTAAATGCCACCTCTAAATTTCCAGTCTTGGGCCAGCCCGTGACTCACTCGGGAGAGCGTGGTGCTGAGAACACCAAGGCCATGGGTTCGGATCCTATATAGGGATGGCCGGTTCGCTCACTGGGTGAGCGTGGTGCTGACAACACCAAGCCAAGGGTTAAGATCCCCTTACCGGTCATCTTTAAAAAAATAAAATAAAAAATAAATAAATTTCTAGTCTTTATCTCCAGTTTCATCTCTCCCATGAAAAGCAGATTTATAGAACCCACTTCTACCCACTCAGCATCTCTACTTGGACAACAACATCTCTACATAGACATAGCAAAGAAAACCCAATTTCAACTGCAGACTTTCCCTTAGTAATAGTAGCTCCGTCCTTCTATTTATTCAGATTAAAGTCTTTATCCTGTCTCTTCTCGCATGTCCTATCCAGTCCCTCAAAATGTCCTATAGGCTCTACCTTCAAAATACATATGGAATCTAATCTCTGGTCACCAGCCCCTTGGCTACCATCCTGTCCAAATTGCCTCTCACCTAAATTACTGCAGTAGTTTCCTAACTGATCTCCCAACTACCAGTTTTGCCCCTGAACATGTGTTTCTTAGTACAGCAGCCAGAGTGATCCTTTTAGGATATAAGTCAGATCTTGTCACTCTTATGCTCAGAATTCTCCAGTGGCTCCCAGTTTCTCTGAGTCAAAGCCAGAGTCCGTTGTCCTGCTGGGCCTATGTGATGTGGCCTTCCAGTCCCCCTGCCTCTCTCCTGCTTCTCTTCCTTGTCCTCCTTTACTCTTGCTACATGAGCCTCCAACACTCCAGGCCCACTCCTGCTTTGGGGCCTTTGCACTGCTGCTCCCTCTGCCTGGAACATTCCTCTCAGATAGTCTTGTGGCTCACTCCCACCTCCTTCAAGTCTTTGCTGAAATCTCACCTTCTCAGGCCCACCCTGACCACTCTTTAACACACTGCACCCTCCCTTCCTCCCCTCATGCCCACCACCTGCCGCCACCACCACTTCCCTTATCTCGCTTTGTGTAGTTTTCCCATAGCACTTACCCTCTTTTCACATCCTATATAACTTATTATGTTTATTGTTTGTCTCTGCCCACTGGATTATGAGCTCTATGAGGACAGGGATTTCTGTCTGTTTTGCTCATAAGATGTATTTTTAGCACCAAGAGCAGAGTGTGGCCTATAGTGGGCGTGCTTAAGATTTTTTGAATTAATGAATGTGTAGCACTTAGGTATTGGGGACTTATTCCATGCCAGGTTCTTGGCAGGGCACTGGAGATCCACAGATGAATGAAGAGTGGATTCTGTCCCAGGTTTAGTTTGTCTTGAACAAGGACACCATTGCCTGCTCAGCTCTGTCCCAGGTTTAGTTTGTCTTGAACAAGGACACCATTGCCTGCTCAGCTCTGTCCTACT